GAGCGCGTTACCACCCGTCCTGAAAAGTTGAGTCACTCGATCGACATAGCCAGGACGGTTACTGCGCCGAGCAGACCGGGCGTGTCGTTCAGGCACGATGAACACGTTCACCTGTTCAGAGGTGTAAACCCAGATGTGTCTGGTGTGGGCCAATCAAGTAAGGGCGATACGTTAACGTCGCTTCACATGTCAGATGTTGGTAATCGAAGAATATGCACCGCCGAGGAGCTAAACTCAGAGCAAAACGCAAGTCCAAGTCCGTCATGGGTTACTTGCTGACCTTTGGAGCATATCGATAGGGATTCGATCTTGGCACCGAAATGTCTTCGCCACGACCTGTGTTCTCCAACTGTACCCTCACTGTTCTTTACCATGAAGATACTTCTGCAGCCGTCAGTCTACTGGTAAGCTAATTCACTCAAGTGTTGATCTGCCATTTGTAGACGTACGGTCGTTTTCTCCACGAGAGTTGTGGAGTAGTAATCAAACTGCGTTTTTTTAAAATGCATAATCATACATGTCATGCAATCCATTGTACACTTTAACTTTGCGATCAACAAAATTCAGTTTGTTATTGAAGCGTTTCCAGCAGCCTCCAAGAAGGTATGCTGCGATATCTCGAATGACTCAGTGTCAGCTGAAACGTAGGTGTACAGCACATTCACTTGGAGACTATCCAGAAAGATTCCGTTGAGTCGAACGTTAAAACCTCACTGGTGTGCAAATGAGCGTATTTCACAAAGGACATTTCTCATCTTGTGTGGCTAGAAGGCTTCATTCTTATATGAAAGGAATGAAAAATAGATTGTTTTCTTTTTCAAACTGAGCAGAACTAACATTGCATACTTCTAACACAGCATGAAACGAACTCACTTTGAATACCGCTGAAGCTGCGAAATCTTGATCTGGCTCCTAAAGCGATGCCTTAGATTTACCCCAAGGAAGAATTTCTAATTTATGTCAACTGCCGCTGGGCTTCTGACGGGAGGCTCACATGGAACCCAGCTGAATCTTTCGTGTGTGATACACTTACTATCTGGATGTGTTACTCTAGGCTGCCTCGTGTTTCAAGTTGGTCGTGGGCTGTTAAAGAGCTTTCAGGAACCTTAGGAGTAGTGTATTACGTCCATCCAACTTATTGTGACATCTCGAATTTCGTACTACCTGAAACATGCAGCGGCCTGGCGTAGTTGGATATGAAGGTCCTGAACAGGAATTCAGTTGGGTTCTAGATGAGCCTCCCGCTAAAATCAAAATGGCCTGCAGATGTCCGTATAAGTCGAATTTCGCGCAATTTGTGTTCAACTAGAACATCCGGGACTGCACCTAGCTAATGAATCGCAAGAAAGGCGAAACTGGTCGTGGGCTGTCGCTAAGCTTTCGGTAACCTTATGAGTAGTGTGTTGTGTCCATATGAAGTTCGATTAGCTTGTAGCGTGGTCGCACAGGGATAGTTGATCGGTTCCTCTTCCCAATGAGCTTGGCGATAAACTAAGGTTATATTCCACAATGGCTCCGAGGAATTTGAATCGATGGATAAATAGTGATTGGGGATGGGTACCTGTCAAAAGGGCACATAATCCGCCTAGTTGAGGTGCGCTAAGCGTCTTGGAATTTCGAAACCCGAAGCTTAGAACATTTCTTACGATTAATCAACGAGTCTTAGTGACTACTAACTTAATTGCATGTGAGGCTCCAAATGGCGATGCCCGCAACCCTTCACACTCCCATCGGTATAACCCTGGCGGTGAAGGGAGCAAAAAACAGGTGGGTTGTAGAAGACAGGGCGAAACAGATGAAGTGAACAGTTACTTATTAAATGCTCGTCCGAGTTGATAGTCACGAGGATTTTCGCTTACCCAGTCACAGAAACTGGGGTCGGTGAACAAAACTGCGTTTATCGGTAAGTCGCTCCAGTAAAAGACCTGGAATGGCTTTAGGGTAATCAGGGATCCTCGTTTACCCAGTCACCAAAACAAGTCTTATCAAAACATGGTTCACTGCGTTTATCGGTAAGTAGCTCCAGCAAAAGACCTGGAATGGCTTTAGGGTAATCAAGGAACAATAAACGTCCAGTTTCGGCCTTTTTATTGAACACTGAGGAAGCCGACGCGCCGGCATCCAAAATACCGTGCGATGTTTTGCTGCACAGACTGTTATGTCTCGTCAGTTATCTGGCAGAGATAACAAGACCATACCAAAGTCATTTCTTGCGTGGGGTGGTTATCTCGGCTAGGAACTTTCCCGCTGCTAAGACACAAACTTAACAGAATCCGGACAAGGTTTGGGCCAAAAACGCGAACACGAGACAAAGATCTCAAACTTTGTGTGATTCCAGGTTGTCAGGTATTTTCTTCACAATACCGGTTGCCGGTTCGTCTGATTAGGCTTCTCCTGTCTTTCAACGATTGTCATGCTTAATCCACATCAAATAAGACTAGTTAGAAGACTACCCTCGAAGTGGGCTTCACCCGCGTGCGACAGTATTTTTGTGGGAAGCCCTGACAGGCAAGTCAGTCGATCGACTTTAGTCGGGGCATTTGAATACACGAATCATACCACTCGAGCTTGGACACACTGGCCGATTCTGATATCTACTAGTCGCAAATACACCCTGTTTTCCTAAACTTCGTCACGGTAGGGGAGCGAACCATCTAGAAATGCTGAGAACTATGCCAGGCTAATGAATCCATTACTGTTTTTCTGGATGACTGCTTTTTTGAACGAGCCATTAATCCGTTCGCACAGAGCTCACAAAATGAAATCGATCCATCAAACCATTTTTTGTTGTCACTTGAGGGGTCGACGTGACATCCATTTTCGCTGATTCGGCCTTGAGGCTTTGCTCCTTGCTGAATATGGTTTCCGGCGAGCTGCGTGTGCGCACATTGGCCATCTGAACGCGTGATACTCTACGGTTGGGTGATTGAAAAATGAGCGACCAGAGTGTCATGAACGAAAAACCTTTCCCCTTATTAGTCAATCTATATGAGTGTTTGTAACTTTGGCTTGACATCTGACAAGATAACGTTACCAAAATATTCTGTCCGTTTTCAGATGGCCCAACTTTTACCCACGGACGAAGAATTCATCTTTTTGTTTCAGAAGGAGAACAAACTCAGTTCCAGTGTGGATTTTATGAAAGTAAGAAGGAACGATGTTTTACCACCACACATGAGGAGCTAACATTCCTGACGTCTAACGACTTTGTCTATTTATATACCAAGATTGTCCTTAGAAGGAATTCAAGCGTTCTGTAACTTTGTGAGTAGTATCTTCCGTGTACATCATTGCCTTATTGTGCAGACCTGTTGACTCGGCTGTTTTATTTCAGGTGTGGAAAGAATTTGACAAAGATCACAGTGGATATATCGAAGCTGATGAACTGAAAGTGAGTAATGATCACATCGAAGGGTATTTTTCTGCTTTACGCATCCACGGATCAAAAGCGGGTGGAATCTAACGGCCGGAGATTAACTCAACCTAAGACATAAGTTTTACCTTTGTTGCCGGTCGCCATGGTGAAACTGGTTGTTTAAGGAGTGAAATTGTACGAAGAAGGTCCTCAAAACGGCTTTCACCAATGGAAGTCACAATACTCC